TCACTGAGCAGTTGAAAAAGGACGGGTTCCTAAGGGGTGAGGCGGCCACAACAGCATTTGAGAGCTTGAAGAAGGCGATGACTACGGTGTTGGTCCTAGCTTTGTCAAATTTCACTCAGACCTTCATTATGGAGAAAGATGCATCCAGGTACGGGCTGGGTGCAGTGCTTATGCAGAGTCGTAGGCCCATTGCCTATTTCAGCCATATATTGACTGCTTGAGCCCAGTTGAAATCGATTTATGAGAGAAAATTAATGGCCATCCAAAAGTGGCGGTTCTACCTACTTGGGAGGCATTTCATTGTCAAGACAGATCAGTAAAGCTTGAAATATCTGTTAGAATAGCGGATGGTGACAGATGAGCATCAAAGGTGGCTATCCAAGTTGTTAGGGTATGATTTTGAGATTCAGTATAGACCAGGGGTGGAGAACAAGGCGGCAGATGCCTTATCTAGATGTATGAGGAAGCTGCAGATAGTGCCACTATCTGTTCCTTTGATGCTTGACTGGGAGGCCATTAGAGAGAACAATGTGCTAGAAATGAAGATTTGGGAAGGATCAGGTCAGATTTACTGAAAGAAGAGGATAGCCACCCAGGGTACGCATTGGTGGGAGACTGACTGCTGTATCAGGGGAGATTTGTGATGCCCCGTACCTCGATCCAAATCCCAAACTTACTCCAGGAATTTTATGGAAGCGCAGTTGAGGGCCATTCAGGAGTGCAGAAGACCTACATGAGACTAGCGACCGAGCTTTACTAGAAGGGAATGCATAGAGATGTAGAGGAGATGGTGGCAAGGTGTGAGATCTGTAAGAAGAAAAAATATCTGGCTATGTCACCAAGGGAACTACTACAGCCGTTGGCATTACCAGGACGGGTATGGGAGGAGATATCCATAGACTTCATACATTGGCTACCCCGTTCAAAATGCTTCATGGTGATTTTGGTGGGGGTGAATAGATTGAGCAAGTATGCTCATTTTATTCCTCTCCGACACCCGTACACAGCAGTGACAGTGGCTTCAATATTCATCAGAGAGATGATCAGATTGTATGGGGTACCAGAGGCAATCGTGTCAGACAGAGATAAGGTGTTCCTTAGTCATTTTTAGAGGGAGTTGTTTAGGTTATAGGGGACAGTTCTAAAGAGGAGAACCGCTTACCACCCACAGACAGATGTCCAAATGGAGGTGGTTAATAAGAGCTTGGAGACCTACTTGAGATGCTTTGTGTCAGAGATACCTAAGCTATAGGCCAAGTGGCTATCATGGGTGAAGTACTAGTATAACACCTCGTTTCACTCGGCTTCATAGATGACTCCATTTAGAGTGCTATAAGGAAGGGACCCTCCTCACTTGGTGCACTTTAGGAGTAGCATTACTCCAATTTCTTCAATGGAGGAGTACTTGGAGGAGAGGGATCGAGTGTTAGAGGAGTTGAAGAAACATCTACTGAGAAGAAGAAATAAGCTTATGGGCATAGAAAGGACATCCAGTTCGAAGTAGGAGAGAGGGTGTTCTTAAAGCTCTGACCATACCGACAGAAGATAGTTGCCAATAGGAGAAATGAAAAGCAAGCTCCAATATACTTTAGACCTTATGAAATATTGGAAAAAATTAGAGCGGTAGCATATCGGTTGAAACTACCACCCACGATGACTATTCATTCGGTTTTCCATGTGTTGCAGCTGAGAAGAGCCATTTGAGATTATATAGCCAGCTCAGAGTTACCAGCAACACTTCTGAGGAGTTAGAGGTGATTCTGGAACCCTTAGAGTTAATGGGAGTTCGCCAGAAAGAAGATGGAGTGAAAGAAGTGCTAATTAAGTGGAAGAATCTGCCTGACTATGATGCAATGTGAGAGCCATACGAGAGGATGAAATATCAATTTCCTAGTTTTCGCCTTGAGGTCAAGGTGATTCTTTGGGAGGGCGGTATTGATAGGCTGGTTCATCCTGAACCGGCCAAGCGGCCTGCTCAATACTATAGGATGTGGAAAGGGGTCCGCCCCCTTTGATTTTCCTCCCATGTGTGGGGCCCACTTGGGAGCAATTGAGGAAGGAGGGTTGGGCGGCTAGAGAGAGAGGGAATTTTTGAAGGAGGGAGGTTCGAATTAGGAAACTAATTGTATTAATAGGGGGATTTGTTCTAGGGTTAGGTATTATGCATGATTATTGTTTCTCTTGAAGTTCTCTTTGGTGTCTTGGGTTCTAGGCTTCTCGTCTAGAGATTGGGAGAGAACGATCATCCTCTCGAATTCAGGATCAATTGTATCTTGCTTTGTATTCGTTTTGGTTTTGTTTCTCTTCTTTCAATCTACCGTTTTGGGGTTGTTTTCACCCAGATTTTGCATTACGCTCGCTGTTTTAACCAATTAGAGATAGGTTTACTTGCGAACTCAAGTATTTTCTATCACACTCTCTTTGAGGATGAACCAATAATTTTTTTGATGGATTTTCACTCTCATGTTTCATCCCAATATTGGCTCTATCAATTGATAAAATTTTTGGCTTGTTGCTAAAGGACTCACTTATATATGCTTGATAGCTTATTTTGATAATTTCTCTATAGTCACTAAATTCAACTTTGTTACAAATCTAACCGATAATGGGTATGTTGCTTAAGGCGTCAAACACATATGCTTTCTTAAGAAGCGCATTTATCGACACAAGTAGATTCAACAATCATGATTTGACAAATTTTCTAAAGTTTTCGTAAAGTTGGCATTTCAAATAGTATCCCTAATCATTTTATCTTTTTTAAACAAGAAACAAAATTCTTGATTGTGCGCCATTTATATAGATCACACATTACTTAAAGTGAGTGATAATAATGGTATATTTATAAAACACTACTTATAAAGTTATTTTGTTAAAATAGATGACTGAAATATTTTAGTGAGACTGAATTTTCTTACATCAATAAAGGGGTCTATATTACTTAGATAAAACATATTAATAATCTTCTTGAAGAAAACAGAATTTTAAGTTGCAAACTAATTGATACCATCTTAAGATATTTCCCATGATGGTCCATTCCGTTATCAAAGAATTGTTGAAATTTTGATTTATCATCATTACCATGGGGTCATAGGTCAACACATTAGAAAATTTAGAACAAAAGCATTGCAATGCTAGTTTTTTGTATTGTTATATTTCTTGAGAAGGATTTTCGTATATACAAACTAGGTACATACAACAATGACAACTATGTTGGATTTGTTAATAATAAAAAAAAAAATTTGATATACTATACTTTTATAGGTAGTAATCTAGTTACCTGGATAAGTAAGACCAAAATTATTGTATTCAGGAGTGTTGAAGTAGAATGTAGAGTCATGCCTCATTCTACATGTGAAATAATATGTTTGAAGATGATATACATGTTGGAGGAACTCAATTTTCTAGCAACTCATCATATAGCTATGAATTGTGATAATTGTATAATCATATACATTGCTAGCAATCAAGTGTTTCATGAAATGACCAAACATATTGATGTTAATTGCCATTTCAAATAGGGTTCTATAATTTTCAAAAAAAATTCACCCCTCATGCTTCTAGCTCAAACCTTACAACAGATATCTTCAACAAAGGCATAGTTTCTCTCATTCTCTCACTTATATAACACCCTTTAAGCTAACAAATATACGCCACTACAGAAAAAATGTCATTTTTCAGCGGCCATTTCTACCGAAAAATGTCTTAAATCCGTCGATAATTTATATTTCCAACAAATTTCTGTCAGAAAATTATTTAATTAAAAATATTACTAATATTTATATTATTTATAATAATTGAATTTATATTAAAATTAACAATATTTAATTTGATTAATTTAATTTAACAAAATGAATAATTTTAAATATTTATAATAATTATTTTTCAAGAAATTTTAAATTCTGCCAAAAATTGCGATAGAAATCCGCTAGAAATATTTCCTTGGAAATTTGCCGAAAAAATTGAATATTCCGTCGGAAAATCCATTGGAATTTCTGACAGATTTATTTTCGACGGAAATTCCATCGAAAATCAACATTTTTCCTGTAATGTGTGTTCTAGCTTGAGAAGGAATGTTAGCATATTAAAAACTTTTTATATAAAAACAATAGATAATTTGAGAATATTTAAGTTGATTATTTCTTAATTATATTTATTTTCTTCATATTATATTCATTCCCTATGTCTATAAATAAATATTATCATTCGCTAAATAAATTATCTAAATTTTCTTCACTCAATCTAACAAATTTCTTTAAAGCTACTATGTCAAACCTAAAATTTTGATTATATTTTTTTGAGATATCCTTGTAAATTTAACCAATTTAATTTCAAGAGATTATATTTAGACCTATCTTTAAGCAAATTAATCATGATGTTAATCGTTGCATACTTGATGATTAAGTTAGAGAAAATTAAAACATAATCCTATTATTTTGCATCTAAGTGCATTATATTCTATCTCTCTAATAAGCAGTTTAACTTGAGGTGTCAATTTGTGTCAAAGGATCAATCCAAATTAAAATAATTTGACCAAAATAGAATAAATTTGTGTTGATCTATCTATTAAACGCATTGAAAAATCTCCAAATAAAATCTTGACTCAATTCAACCCAAACTTGACAACATGAGAATCAGGCAAGTCAAGTTAGCTCACATTTGTGAAGTTCAACACACAAAATGAACCTATAATCCAATTTCTACATGTTATTACAATAAATAATTAAAAAAAACATCTTATTACAATAAATAGGTTAAGTTTGAGTTATCGGGTTGAGCCAACAACCCTAATTTTTTTTTTTGTTAACCTAAATTAGATCCGAATCTTACATATGTAGCCTCAAATTCAAAATTTTCAGATCATCCTTAAGTAGAGTTAGATTATATTGCCATCTTATTTTACACCAGATGAATAACTTTTTATTATTAAATCTTTAGGTCAAGAAATTCCATTGAAACTCTCTGTTAAATAAGATATTTTTCGTGAACCGAGTAATAATTACCTTGAAGGGAGGGTTGTTAGTCCGGAAGGTAATGTTCTCAATGTCCCTTAGCCAGACTGGTAGTCCACTAAAGAAAAAGCATCAACAACACCAATAGAACAGTAATATCATTAGAACGTACAGTAAAAATATATGTATAATGATTTAGCAAATGATGAATTATACTAACCCATGATTCCATTCGGCTTGAATGAAGGGTCCAATCCTGAGTGTTACATACATTCTCATTTGCTGGACCAATTTAATGAACTTCACCAAATCATATCTTCCCTCAAAGTTATACTGCAACAATAGCTCTTATTTATTATTTCTTCAAACCCTAATTAGGAGGGCGACAGAATTAAATAGACAACTTAAATTTTTACTCGCATAAAACCAACATATATAAGAGAAAGGTGATGAATTAGAATCACTTCATTATAATATACAGCTTATAACTAAAAATGAATATAAAAATATGATTTTTTTAAGTGGACGGAAACGATTCTTATCTAAGTGTCTTACCTGCCCTTGAATGGGTTCATGTCCATTCCAGAAAACATAAGTTTGAATCACATTAAGCCCACCAGCCTTAGCGTTGGCAATAATATTTGGCCACATCTAATCATTCAAATTAAGCAACAATTGATCAATTTCATATTATCATATAAAGATCACAGCAATGATCGATAATTGATCGAGGGTTACCTCCGGAGTACTTCGGGGGTAATGAATGGAGCCAGAGAAGAGAAGCTCTCTCTTCCCGTTAATAATGAAAGAACGCGCATCATATACCACTCCTTTTACATTATCGCTACGAGCGGAGATCACCGAAGCGGCGTAGAGCGAAAAGAGGGCGAATGTGAGTCCGATGCGCCGGGCGGCCGAGTCCATCGTGGGAATGCCAAGGAAGAGGAAGAAGGGGTGGCTCGACGGAAATAGGAGGCGCCGCCGTCGAGTTCCCCTTTGCTTTTAGGTGCTTCAGGTTGTGAGAAGGGAATGGCCGAGGGAGTGGAGAAGGAAGACATAAAGGCATTTGGAAGCGAGAGGAATACACGAGGCTTTCAGAGAGAGAAACGCGGGAAAGCTTGTTGTGATTAGTTGGCTCTGTTAAGCTTCTTTTACGGGCGGATTCTATGGGGCCAGATGGGATGAACACCTCTTTCAGTATTATATATATAAAAGTATCTTTCCACCCATCTAGTATGATCTGTAATATACATTTGAATGAAAACTTCTAGAATCAAATTTAGGATGATTTGAATTTTGATTTAGTAAAGTTATAATTAGACTAAATGTCTGAATGTGAATGTCTCTTTGATAATAAGAGCGATTTAGTCTATGTCTGAATGAGCCTATATAAAGCACTTAATCTAAAAGCGCACCATTATAAAAGTTTTGAAAAAAGGAGCAAACAAGTTAATCTAATTACCTTTTTCTTAAGAAAAATTGAAAAAATATTATTTGCAAAATTTAATAAATATATAATTTTATAAACAACTAAATAGAGTTTTGGTTGGAACCATGTGGTGAGAATCCTACATTATATTACAAATGAGGCCCTTCTTAGGGAGAAGGCCTTGGCTTGATGGTACAAATTTACATCATATAGAGCGCATTACATGGTGGGAGTTACAATATAGACATGTTTGTTTGGTCGGCACGACCATAGTCGATAAGATAGAGGTCGGAAAGACCGTTGTCTGGTGATGGAGGTCGAAAGGAGCATAGTAGGTGATCGAGGTCGGAAAGATCATAGTCGAATGGAGAGAGAGGTTTGAAAGACCGTAGTTGGTAGAAAATCGGGGTCGAAAGACCATTGTATGCTGATGGAGGTCGAAAGGACCATAGTCGGCAGGAAAGAGAAGCCTGAAAGATCGTAGTTGGTAGAAGACCGAGGTCAGAAAGACCGTTATTTGATGATGGATGTCGGAAGGACCATAGTAGACGATGAAGGTCAGAAGGACCGTAGTTGGCAGGAAACAGGGGTCCGAAAGACTATAGTTGGTAGAAGACTGGGATCAGAAAGACCGTTATCTAGCGATGTAGGTCGGAAGGATCATAGTAGGCGACGGAGGTCGGAAGGACCATAATCGACAGGAGACAGAGGTCAGAAAAGATCGTTGTTTAGTAATGTAGGTCGGAAGAACCATAGTAGGCGATAGAGGTTAGAAGGACCATAGTCGGCAGGAGACAGAGGTCAGAAATACCGTTGTTTGGCGATGTAGGTCGGAAGGACCATAGTAGGCAACAGAGGTTAGAAGGATTGTAGTCGGCAGGAGATAAGGGTCCGAAAGACTGTTATAGTGGGGTGATACTTCAGTAGAACTCTAGGCATCAGGCGGTTGTCCGGCAGAAGTTCGGGCCTCAGGTGGTGGTCCGGCGGAAGTACAAGTCTCATGTGGTGGTCTGGCAGAAGTCTAGGCGTCACGTGGTGGTCTAGGAGAAGTTTGGGCCTCAAGTGGTGGTTTAGTAGAACCCAGGGCCTCAAGTGGTGGTCTGGCAAAACCCTGGGCCTCAAGTGGTGGTCTTGTAGAAGTCCAGACCTCAGGTGGTGTCCTAGTGGAGCACATAGCCTCAAATGGCGGTTCGGCGAAAGTCTAGGCCTCATGTGGTGGCTTAGTGGAGCATAGGGCCTCAAGTGGTGGTCCAGTGGAAGTTCGGGCCTCAAGTGGTGGCCTGGTGGAGCAGAGTACCTCAAGCGCTGGTCTAGTGAAAGTCTGGGCCTCAGGTGGTGGTCCGGTAGAAGTCCGAGCCTCAGGTGGTGGTCTGGCGGAGCAACGACGTCAGGAGGTGGTCCAGTAGAGAAGAGGGCTTCAAGCGCAGGTCCAACGGAGCAATGATGTTAGGTAGTGGTCTGGCGAAGGTGAGGACCTTAAGTGGTGATTTGGTGGAAGTCCGAGCCTCAATTGGTGGCTTGGCAGAGCATAGGTCCTCAAGTGGTGTTCCGGGGAACTCAGGGCCTCAAGTAGTGGTCCAATAGAACTCAGGGCCTCAAGTGATGGTCCGGCGAAACTCAAGGCCTCAAGTGGTTGTCTGGCGGAGAAACGACGTTAGACGGTGGTCTGACGGAGGTGAGGGCCACAAGTGGTGGTCCGACGGAGCGCAAGACCTTAAGTGGTGGTTCGGCAGAGCAGTGACGTCAGGCAATGGTATGGCGGAGGGCCAAAAGTGGTGGTCCTACAGAAGTTCGGGCCTTAGGTGGTGGTCCGATGGAGCAATGACGTCAAGCGGTGGTCCGGCAGAGGTGAGGGCCTCAAGTGGTGGTCCGGCAAAAGTTCGGCCTTAGGTGATGGTCCGACGGAGCAACGACGTCAGGCAGTGGTCTGGAGGAGGTGAGGGCCTTAAGTGGTGGTCCGGCGGAAGTCCGGCGGTGGTCGAGGAAGAGCTTCTTCCTTCTCTTCCTTCTCTTCTTCCTTCTTCTTTTCTTGCTTCAGTCACCCCTTTTCAAGAGAAAGGAGGGGGTCTATTTATATATTTATGTAGTGGCATGGCCCATAAATAGGTGAGAGATCAAGGGTAATTAGGGAGTGGTTGGATGGATGACCGATGTTGAATCTCTTGATCATAGACCATTTGATGGACATTTAAATGTCTTAGTGATGTCAGAATTCGGTGATCTTGGGCTTGTTGGATTCGTCTTGTTGAGCCACTAGATTCGACTTTAAACACTTCATGTTTGGAAATTGTTTGGTAACCCAAATTGTGGTTCAAACCTTCCAATAGTGCTTCGGGTCCATAATGTGGACTCATTTGGGCTCAAATTGAGTCTAATTTGGTGTTGTTGGGTTCGTATTTCCAATACGTTCAGTTTGACTGTAAGTTTGCTTAAATCGGAGTTTGAATGGTGCCAATTTTAATTTTGGAAATTTCCAACTTGATTTTGCATCGAGATTCATGCCCGATCAAGATAATTTTTTGATGATGTATCAGTTTCCTCCCTATTTTTGGACGTTGATGTTCAAGAAGTCTAAAAATATGTGTCGCTGTCTTTGGAGAATTTTTTGTGTGATTCGTAATTTGAAAAAAATCCAATCCTTGGTGAAATGATCCTGAACGGCTTTAGAAGTACTAAAATTGTATAATTAAACATCATTAATTATAATTAATTATAATTAATATATTAATTATATATTATTCTTTTTAAAGAAGCTGAGGGGAGAGGGGGATCCCTCTTTGTTCGTTCCAAATCCTGTCCTCGACGCGCTTGACGCGTCGGTGGACCCCTATACGCGCGGTTGTGGCACGGTGGGGGGGAATCCGGTGTGACAGGTGCGACGAGGCGGGTAAGCCCTATACACGCTCTTGTAGCATGGCGGGGACAGTCCTCGACCTCGACATCAGCACCGCCAACACTGCTACGAAAGGTATAATGTTTTAAAATCCCATTTTCGACGTTTGCGGCGGACCGGAGAACCACCTATACTTGCTCTTGTAGCACGGTTAGACGGAGCCCGGTGCGACGCATACGGCGAGATGGGTAAGCCATATACACGCTCTTGTAGCGTGGTGGGGAGAGCCACTGGTGTTCTGGTACGGGTACTGTTGAAGGCCCCATATACGCTCTTATACCGTGGTGGGATGAAAAGATGTACGGTCATGGTGTCTAAGGACACCTACCATACATGCTCGAGTAGCGTGGTGGGAAGGCCCAGCTTCCTTACATTTCCCCCAAATGGGGGATATGCTGGGATGTTGCCGAAATTTTCACTGAAGTGCACAAAGCCTGAAAAATAAGAAGACCTCATTTGGGCAATAATGCAGAGGACTTGTATGAGCAACAAAGAACAAGGACCTGGACTTAAATGAGCATGAACAATGACTTGTAGACCACATGCAAATAACTAATAATAAAGGCTTGAACTTAATCAAAAAATGAATTTGAAATAAGGACCTAACTCAAATTAATACGAATATGAAATTGAACTTATAAGGACTTAAGAAGACCCTGAACAAGCATGTGAACATGTATTTTAAACTTGAACCGGATTGAATACAAGGGACCTGTGAACTTGTGCACTTGAACTTGGACTTGAATTCAAAAGAAACAAATAAACTTGCCACTTAAACTCAAGCATGAGCTGAATATGAGAACTTGCAAGGACTTATGAACTTAGACTTGACTAGAATCAAGCCTTCAGTGTACTCAAGTGAATGTTGACGAATAAATGAGCTTGTGACATAACTTGCTTTCAAGCATGGGTTAATGAAATCCAAGAGGAAATGCAATAATACGAGTGCAAATGATTGTACGAATTCCTCAACAAATGAATAATATGAAACTCATAGTGCTCAAATCAATCAATGTACGAGAAAGAAAAGAGGGATGTGTAATACAAATATCCATCTCAAAGGAAAAAATCAAATACTTGTAACAACATTAACTAACATTTTACAAATATACTCAAGGGGATCATGATGAATGTAACATATTCCTACAACGGTCCCTACAAGGTCAATGCACTATGCTTGTAAGCAACAACAGACAATTGCAAAGTGTACGAGTACTACTCATATGTAGCCATCAAAGATCTATCCTTGCAGCAAATGCAATCATCAAACCACCTGAGATCGGTGAAAGGTGGATATGATGTAGGAACAGTGGGTCTCCTACGAACACT